GTTTCCATAGGAATAGTGTCACACATCAGTGCTTTGTGTCACACTGTAGTTTTCTTTCTTTCACTTATTCATTATTGGGGGCATATCTAGACTGATTTCAAAAGTTGATTTCTAGTTCTCCTGACAACAGCAATGTGCGACCTCCTTTCCCCACATGTATGCTAACATCAGTTATCATTTCTATTCCTGATGATTGACATTGTATCAAGGGCATTGTGGAAGTTTAACGGAGTCCTAGTCTGCATTTCCCTGATAGTTATATAACATTTTTTATTACTCTTGGTTTCAGTTTGGGTTTGTGGTTGTGTTCATTTCCTTTTTGTTTTTTTTTTACATTTTTAATTGGAATTGTTATATTATTAGAACAATTCTCCATTCACTTTCCTCCAGACAGATCCTCCCATATACCGTTGCTGCTGACTTTCAAATTCATGACATCTTTTTCATTAAATGTTATTGCATACATATATGTCTATGTGTATATATACATATTTGTAAATAAACAACTCAACACATGTTACTTGTATGCATGTCTTCAATGCTATTTGGCATTGAATAACCAGCTGGTGTGCTCTTCCCTGGAGGAAACTAGTTCTCCTGCTCCCACCATCCCCCAGTTGTCTGTAGTTCTCTGTGTAAGGTTAAGGCAGTGTGGGCTTTTCCCCATCCACTTTGGCATGCCCCTTGTTCTTATCTTTGTCCAGCTCACATTTAGGAAGTCATGTTGGTGAGATTTTTATAGACCAAGTTTCTGGCATTGCTAGGTGTGATGGTTATTCTTGGTTGTCAACTTGACTACATCTGGAATGAATTGGAATACAGAAATGAAGGGCACACCAGTGAAATTATTTTTGCTTGTTTTGAAGGGACTGAATCCACTTCTAGTCTGGAACTTGGACATAGGAAGACAAGTGCCATTAATCCACATCTTGAGGCTGAAGGACACACACACCTTTGATCAGGATAGAGAGGCTGGGCCACACCTTCTGCAGGAAGACTATATAAGGACATAGAAATAGGAAACGTTTGCTCATTGCCTGTTTTGTTGGCTCATTTTCTTGCTAACACATCTAGTGTTCACATTGCTTCACCAGCATTGGAGTCTACTTCTCTGGGATTCTAACATATACTGAAAACCAGCCAAGACATCCAGCTTTGTGGATTAAGCAACTACAGGATTTTTAGACTTTCTGTTACAACCAGCCATTGTTGGATTAACTGGAAAGCAGCCTGCAAATCATTCCAATAAATCCCCATTATATATATTCATTCTATAAGTTCTGTTACAGTAGAGAACCCTGACTAATACACTAGGAGACACACCTCACAGCCAACTCCTTGGTCCTTTGCCTCTTTTAATCTTTATACCCCCACTTCAAAAATGGTGCTTGAACCTTAGTAACAGGAGTGTTTTACAGAGGTACCCAGTGGGTCTGGGTTCCACAACTCTGCATTTTCATTATTTCTGGATTTTTGCTGTGGTCTCTGTTAAAAAGAGATATTACCTTGATGAGGAATGAAAACTAAGCTTACTTGTGGGTATAAGGAGAGATTGTGGTGCTTTAGTAAAGTGGTGGTTGTTTCTTATCCTCCAAGAGCCAAGTCTTCACCAGCACCTGTAGGTAGCTAGATTTCCAGTACCACTCACGATTTCTCCTTTGTTAAGAGGATCTTAAGTCTAATAAAACAAATGTTGGTTACCACCAAGGTATGCTTGCCACTACTGCATTCTTAGGGTACTGTTTCAAGATGACAGTTGATGTGGTTCATAGGCATCATAGCTGGCTGGGACTGTTGGTTGGCTCCCACCATTGGAAGCTTGCATGGTACTTCTGGTATCATGAAAGCAATTCCTCAGGGAGCAGTTTAATTTATTTTGAGACAAGAGCTCCTTATTTCCAGCTGTCTGAGACTCACTATGTAGAGCTTGCTGGCTTTGAACTCAGAGTTCCCCTTGCCCATGCCTCTTGAATGTTGGGTTAAAAGGCTTGCCTGACATTGGCCAACTATACATAATAACTTTTCATTATCAGTCTTTTTGTTTGTTTGTTTGTTTGTTTTGTTTTGTTTTGTTTTGTTTTTTTGGTTTTTCTAGACAGGGTTTCTCTGTGTAGCTTTGTGCCTTTCCTGGAACTCGCTTTGGAGACCAGGCTGGCCTCGAACTCACAGAGATTCGCCTGCCTCTGCCTCCCGAGTGCTGGGATTAAAGGCGTGCTCCACCACCGCCCAGCTTGTTTGTTTGCTCTTTGGAGACAGGATTTTGCTGTGTAGCCTTTGCTGACCTGGATTTCACTCTGTAGACCAGGCTGGCCTTGAACTCACAGGGATCTGCTTGCCTCTACCTCCTGAATGCTGGGATTAAAGGTGTGTGCTGCTACCACCTGGCTTGTTATCATATCTTGACAATTAATTACCCAAGGTAACTGCACAGCCTACATGGTAGAAATGAGTGATCAAGTGGATCTTTTGTTAACTGACATTAAATACATCAGTTATACTAAATTAGAACGCTAATTTAAATGGATGAATATAACACACCAGGTGAATATAACATACCAAATTTAAACAACATGAAATAAATACGGTAAACAGAGCTAAAAGTAGCAATAAAACTAAAGCAGCTGTAAAATGCCATCCTTAAAACAACCCCATGACCAGACTGACAGGATTCTGTCAGAACTCCAGAAAAAAGACTAACAGCAAAGCTGATACTTATAATACTTCTTGACACAAAAAACGGGAAGACTTCCTGACTATGAGGTTATATCAGACAATGAGCTGAGCATGGTAGCACACACCACGTTCTAGAGGAAGAGGTAGCTGAGTTTGAGGCCAGCCCGGTCTTCAAAGTGAGTTCCAGACAAGCCAGGGCTGTTACACAGAGAAACCCTGTCTTGGGGAGAAAAAAGCTAGAAAAATAAATAAATGAATTAATGAATTAATGAATAATAAATAAATAAATAGATAGATAAATAGATAAATAAATAAATAAATAAATAAATCCACCAGATAATAATACAACCAAAAAAGAAACTACAGATTGATGTATTCAAAATTTTTTTGAGCTCGGAAGGATGGCAAATGCCTTTAATTCCACCACTCCTGAGGAAGAGGCTGGCTGATCCCTGGAACTTCAAGGCCAGCCTGGTTTACTCTTTAAAAAAGCTGGGTCCTTGGCTGGGCGGTGGTGGCGCACGCCTTTAATCCCAGCACTAGGGAGGCAGAGCCAGGAGGATCTCTGTGAGTTCGAGGCCAGCCTGGGCTACCAAGTGAGTTCCAGGAAAGGTGCAAAGCTACACAAGAGAAATCCTGTCTCGG